ATTGCTTCCGTTTGGACAGGCGGTGAGCGGCCGGCAAGATTTCTGGGGTTAGGGCGCGTGGATGTATGGGGAGTAATCTGGGTGTGTGGGCTCATTACGTTTGTGAACGTTGATTAGGCAGGGGGGGGCTGGGGGGATAGGAGTGGGACTGGGAAGTGCAGGGAACTGTCCGTTTGGGGTGTGCGCGGGGAGGAGAAAGGGAAGGTGGCAGTTGGAGTGGAGGGAGAGGTGGGGGGGGAGGGGTGAGGACTGGTGGGTGTTGCCACTGGCGTCCCTTATTTCAATGGCCAGTTTTTGGAAAGCTGTTTTCGGGCAACGTAGGCGTGTTCCGTTCATCGTTGGGAGATGGGGTTTTCCGTAAGAGTTTACAACAGCCAGGAAACCGCTGGGCCCTGGATGATCCTACCAAATCCCCAGGGTTTGGGGCTGACAAACTCCACGCAACTTGGGCACATGAATTAAGAGTTATACACACTAAGAGTGGAACATGGCTAGGACACATTGTCGCTGAAATTCTTTTCAGCTCGGCTAGACATGAGGGAGGTGTGGGGGGTCTTCCAAATGCAATTTTCGGTTATTTGTGAAAGGGATCTGAAGAGTGGGCATAATGCATGTTAAGGTTTATTTCAAAAATTTTGGCGGAGGTGTAAACTACATTATGTGTATAGTATGTGCAACATAGTGGAAAATGCTTTTTTATACATCTGCAAAGGCTCGTGCAATTTCAGGAGCAGTGGGGTATGCCAGGTCGTGCACTGAGTCCAAGTTACAAACTGCAAACTGCTTACATAATCTTCACACAACGACGGAAGTGCACATGGATGGATTCAACGTACACACTGCATACTGTGGGAAGTGTTTGAGGGGCAAAAAACTCCACGAATTTGAAGGTTTGGGACTCAACTGCTAAGTATTCTCTGGCAATTTCGTCAGCAGGACCAACTACAACGTCAGGACATATACATACAACAGTACTCGACACATTTTCATCATCTTCAACGCTTTGCAAAAGTCCTCACTGCTTGTTTCTTGTTCCCTCACCTGGACTTCTTGGTTCAGGTTGTACAGAAAGACTATAGCAAGACCGTGGTCCAACAGAGAGAGAAGTCTTCCTACGTTGCCTCGCAGGAGAGGGTCGCTAAAGTTTGAACTTATGGACACTTCAACGTTTCTCAGAACTGGCGAAGTTTGTGGCTGGACGGACGGTACTTGATGGAGATGGGGAGACAAGGAGGAGGGGGAGGAGTGTGAGATGGGAGGGTGGTGGGGTGAGGGTGGGACGGTGAGGGTAGCGAGAGCGGGGAATGAGGGAAGAAGGCGTGGTGGTCATCGGTGGGACGAGGACGGAGTTCTTGGGCTGGGAGTCTCAGGAGTGACATCACATCTATAGACACAGACACAGAATAGTCACACCACGACACGGTGGATACGCAACCTCCCAAATTATTTTTGGCCCTACTAGAAAATAGTTTTGTGGGTAGTGTAACATATACACAGCGGAACCCCTCTAATCCAGCACCGGTGAAGTTTCCTTATTAATTTAAGGGGAAATGTTGTTGGGGAAAGGAAATGTGGCTATTTAGAGAGGTGTCCTCATTCAGGGTTGTCCTAGAGAGGTGTTCCCCCCGCTGGTCATGCGGTGTACAAATCAGCTCTGATTCTTCCAGGAAGGCCAGATGTCTGTCCCTGTCAAGCTCTATTAGCACAGCTAAGACATCAGTAAAATGTAAAAAGCTAAGGCATGCTATGCACACCTGTGCCGCAGGCAGGAACACCTCTCACTGAAGAGCTCTCGTTTCAGGTCTCTACACATTGAAAGTCTCTAGAGTAACATCACTCAAAAATCCATTTGCCAGAAGGGGGCTCACTACTATATTATAGTGCCGTAAACATTCCCTTCTCCTATTATAGGAATTTTCCTACGAAGGAACCTATTACCACGTTATGCTCCATATCTGGATAAGCAGAAAGGCCAGAAAGCATCCGAAGAGGCTAGCTGTGTACTGCTACGCTACCATATAGCTACATCAAGCAGTGTGCATGTAAGGAATGGGCCTAGGGCAACCAGGCCAACCCACAAGGCTTGATTCTCAGCCAGACACAAGAGTGTGGTCCACATACTGCGACGAACAATCGTTGTATAGGCAAAGGCGTCCTTCCAGGCTCCTCCAGTCCCCCTGTTTTGCACTTGCAGTCACAAACCTGCCACCTAAGCCACAGGTGATGCACGCACAAACCCCAAACACCCCATGTCCACGCCTCGCTGTGCACCGTGAGCTGTCAGTTACGCCTTCTGGCGAGCCAAAAGGGCAGCGACAAACGCGACTAGCACCAACCTTTCCGGGTCGCGATGGACTCGTCCGAGGGCGGCGAGCGCTTCTTGCTCCAGCTGCAGCGGGCTGGGAGAGTAGCACGGCGGAGAAGGCGCCGAAGAAGAGGAAGAGGTCGGAGATGCATCGATGAGGGAAAAGACATTTGGGTCGTTCAGTATCTCATTGAGCAAACGGTCAATTTCGTTGGTGGAGTTCGGGCTGTCGTCTGCAGAGACACCGGCCGTTATTCCGGACTGCTGCTCAGCAGCTGGCGGCGCCACTTCAAACGCCATCGTCGCAACACAAGATGCACGAAACACACGCGGGGCCGCCGGGGCGATACTGATCCTGCTGCTTAGAGGAGGCGCGTTCGATTGCGGAAGTCAATTAGCGCAGCGAGGCTCCGCCCAAAATATGTGCTTCGAATTCGTCGCGTCGATGACGTGTTTCAGTAAAATAGAACATTATTGCATGGCACATGATGAGTTAAAAATAATGAGAGAGCAGGTTATGATGATGCGTTTTAAAGGAATAAGTTTTAAAGCGAATAAGACGAAACTATAAACACAAAATCTAGTCCTCTGTATCCGTGTGATTCTGAGTTTGTAAACCGTGAACTGAAGCCTGCAAGATAGAGGAAACAAAGTTAATAAGTATTTTTGACTAATTGCATAGCTCAAAAACTGTCCACCAAATTAATGTTCTCCACAGTAGCTATTTTTACAGCGGCAATCTCCATATTTTGCACTTGAATATTTTGCCAGGAAAATCAAGTTTCCCGCTTTACATTATACAGTAATGTGGCTCTTCAACATACCATAGGTAAAAGACCAGCACGAAGCATGTTCATAATGTTGTCATCAATTGAAACTACAATATTGGGAGAATAAAATCATGGTCAAAAATCACTGAAACACCCCAGAGCTTGGCTTAGCATGAATCACTGTGCATCAATCAGTCAATCACCAGCCATTGCATTTGATCACTGTTTTTGATTCACTTCTTCTTCTTGTTGAGAGAACGAGGGGGAGATAGAAAGCAGAGGGGACGGTAGGGGCAATAAAACAGACCTTCACAAATGCCTCTTCTGCTAGATCTCCTTGTTCTCATGCTACGCTTGACCTCTACCTCGGCACCTCCTAGTCTTTCTACCACCGGTTGCACACCGACTAAAGCACAGAGGGAAATGCTTTTTTTAAAACAAACACGACAGAGCTCAGTACTCTAATATTACACAGCAAATGCCCGACTATTCCAGCATGGTAAAAATATCGGTAGTAGACTCCCCAAAATGATATGATGATCCACGCGGCAGACGAAAAGACAGAAACATGATGACTGATGCACAGTGATGCGTTCACTATAAAAACTCGAGTGCCCTAAAATTCTCTCTCACCGCTCGCTCACTGGACCACAACGCTCTGAGCCGCGCTACTCACAAATGTTAGAGGCGAGGAGTGTATCACCAGGAGTGGGGATCCCGTTGGAGTGCAACGGGAAATAGGGCGCCAACTGGTGGCCACCCAGACCCTGGGACAAGACACTATGTCCTCCACCACCACTGCTGCTGTTTGTACTGCCGCTACCTGGTACTTCAGTAGGTGCTCCACTGGTAGAACTAGTATCTGGGCTACCAATGGCACTACTGCTGTGACTAGTACTGTTCTTGGAGTGACGAGGGCGTGTGGAGCTAGTACTAGAGTGCGTGCTGTGGTGCCGCTTGGGATGACGGTGAGGATGTGACGATGAGGAGGATGAGTAGGGAAGAGGTGACGAGTGAGAGTGTTTACGAGAGTGGGAATGGAGACGGAACATAGACTGGAAATGGGACCGGGAACTGGAATGGGAATGTGACCGGGAGTCCTGGT